TAATTATTATTATTATTATTATTATTATTATTGTTATTTGATTCTTTAAGGCATGCATGTACTGTTGTTATTGACGATTCAGCAACATCGTCAAACACAATCCAGTTTTCAGTGAAATTCCTCGAAACCTTGAACATCACAACGGTATGCAATTTCGTAACTTATCAGCATAAAAAAGACTGCTCTTTAAATGTGACGTTCATCTACAATCCGAACCATTCATCGTTCAATATTGAGTCATCACGCCTGATGATTCAGATATGACTACGAACGTGAACGAGAACATAAAAATAAATAAGATCCTACCACTCGAACTGATCGCATCTCTCGAAAGAACGCCGCATCAGCAGCACCGTGTTGTGAACAATGCGCAACCAACGTCTTGAAACAAGTCTCACGGAATCCAAGTCGTCATACTGACTTATCATCGTAAATATATATTCCAATATAAATTCTGGTAAATCATCGATACCAATACTCACGCCTCGCTTTTCTTCCCACAAATCACTCATTCTGAACAGAAGTGATTAGTGGACACTTCAGTGAATTCATCAGAGTAATCTCTTAATTAACGAAGGTTTGGATGAATTTTATTCGACTTCAAGACTATTTCCTGGCTTGATAATGGCAGAGCATGAGTAAAGGCTCAAGCCAAATCCTGAGTGAATCACTTGATATCCTTCAAATCTGCTGTGAAAAGTAGCAATGAAAAAACAAAAAGTTTCAGCACACTGCACTCCTTATCAATATGTAACTAAAATGAAAAATGAAATCCTCAACAACCTATTACATAGTACTCGACTAAATAGACAAGTCTGTGAAATCCTAACGATAAGTCATAGCAGTCAATCAGCATTATTGGCTTAACATATAAAATTGTTCACTGAAATTTGCAAATGAATTGATTGGATTGAAGTGATTTAAAGAAATCAGTAGAGCGCAAATTTTATTAGATAATCCGAAACGAGAGCAAAGCAGTGAGTACATCGATAGTGAGTGAGAGGAAAGAGCTTGATGTGATGTAACAGTATGGCGATTATTAGTGTGCAGGGACGAGAGCGTTGAGATGCTACAGGAATGCGACGAGAAAATCAATGGTGGAATACGAGCAAAGAGCTGACTATGGGAAAGTGGAGAGTGTAAACGGCGTTTCACTTCATGCATTCAGCTCTAATCTCGCGTTCATTTTCACGTCACACTCGCACAGTGTATCGTCACTCTCATTCCTCGAAGTTGGCAAATGCATGATTATTCA